TTCTTGTTCCAGATCTGAATGAATCCCTATGAAATTCAAGCCGATCAAATTCTACTGAAGCTGCAATAAAAGTCCAGTGCAGTTTCAGACTATTTATATAGCTACATCTAGCTCTAGCTAATGCATCCTTACCAAGGGAAAAGCATGGAGTTATGCTGAGCACTGGCTTAGCCACACATATCTGCTGATCTCTGTACCTTGTAAAATTGTATGGGATTTGTACATGCTCATTCAAGATTTGATTTTTAATTTTTTTTTAAGATGACAAGCTGATAAAAGGAGATTTTATGTCTTAGTTTGCCTGATATCAAATAATTGTGCATATTCTCTTCTGTAGCTGAAATAGCTTTTCTGCACTTTATCCTATTGACTGAATGGCTCCCAACTCATGCTGATCTTTCCCAAATGTTTGCTTTTTACTGAAGGTTTTCAGAGCTTTGTTTCAGCTGGATGTAAACTCAGTCACTATAAGAAACCATGTGTGAAAAGAGAAATCTGAGTTAAAGGGTTTTTTTAATGTATTTTGGGTTACAAAATGTTATCTAAATAGAAATACATTTGAATCAATTGGGAAAAACATCTTTGCCAGACACAGCTTTCCTTTTTTCGTTTGCAATGAAAGCAGAACAGCAATAGCTGTGTAAGCAAATACCAATACATATTTTTATGTGATCAGACCTTGAGGAGCTGATAAGAAAATGCAACAATCCAGCACAGATTCAGGAGTACAAGGATGAGCAGCCTTGCTAGTTTTCAGAAACTAAAACTGGAAACAAGTCTAAGAAATGTAAATGTGAAGAGCGTGTAAGTCTTCGACTAAAACAGAATGAGCATGGTCGTTTGGGGTTTTTGTTAAGAGGCATCAAAGCAGGACAGAAAGCAAGTTTTAAAAAGTTTATCAGAAGGTTTTATCCAACTGTGGATTTCCCCAAAGAGGGATCAAATCCTGGAGTGAACAAGCAGCATTTTGAAGCCTGGAGTTTCAATGTGCTGGAGCAGAGTGCTTTTTGCTGGGGTTCTCTGGACAAAACTTTTAAAAATTATAATTGTTTCTATTCAAAATTGCAACCACCTGGTTTTCCAAGAGGACTAAGAATTCAAAAGAAGGGATTATTAACTTTGTGGTTATAAAATCAGCAGGTTTTATTTACCTCTGTGCAATTGTTATTTTCCCTGGCTTTTTTCTCAATAAGAAATTAGGATTTATGCTTGTGAACCAGGTAAAAAAAGGGTTTGGTGGCTTTTTTTATTTTCTGTTTTTTAATTTTTGAGTTAATACCTCAAATACCCTTACAAACCTGTCTGAAAGGGTTTTTTTATGGACTACACTTAATTGTATAAACTGACTTTTATAGAGAAATATATTTTTAGGTAAATGCCTTTGGTATGTGGTATTTCACACTTGTAACTGAGTGTAAAAAGTACTTTATGAACCTTTTTAAAGTCATATGAGTAATCACATGCAAATTGCAGCCTGGAGCTGCATAAATGTAAGTGGTATTGCTTGAATATTTTAATGACATTAATTAACAACAACAATTAAAAAGGATTATGATGTGATACCAAGACCATGTCACAATACTGTTAAAGCAGCGTTAAAAATATTTCAATTCAGAACCTTTTGGCTTGTGGCATAACTAATATCTGGCATAAATGATTCTGATATGAAAGACCACCAAGGGGGTTCTGAGGATGAGGACAAGAGTGAGAGTTATTTTATTGTATTTTGATTGAGGAATCAACAAATAAAAACTAATTTTCTTGCTGCCTTGAGCAAGTTCCTTTATCCCATGCAGTTAAATGCTTTCTAGAATTAATAAAACTGTTTCTAAAAAATACAGTTTTCAGTGCAGGAAGAGGAGTGAAGATTGTCAAGAAGAGTATTCTCCTTGAGGAAATAACTGTTTTGCAAACTCTGTATTGTTTCAAAAGAAAAATGTCATCTTAGTGTAAAATTAAGGTGGGGGAAAGAAATATGTCAAGTAAATGAAGTTATAAGTGCATTTGCATAGTCTGGAGCAACAGCTCAAAAAAGGGTGATTTGTATTTCAACCTCAGGCTCCCTGGAATGCCATAATTCCACAGCTCTATCATTTGCCTCTCTCACAGTGTCATGCAACTCAGCACTTTTTCTGTGAATTGGCTATTTTACAATTGATACCCCTTCTTGTTTTATTTCTCCATTATCCAGCTCTTCCCACAAAGACCAGGTGATTGAATTAATTGTGTTGTACTGTAGCCGGACTTCAAGGGCAAGGGAAACCAGCAACCAGATGTCATAAGATTCAACTCTCGAGCTGATTTTGAAAAGGATGCAGGCAGCTAGGAGAAATACATGGCTTTTCTGGAAAATAGAAACACTGTGAAGTCATGAGATTGTCTCCAGAAACAGTGGGAGCATTTCTAGGAAAAAGGAATGCTGTAGTCATTTTCCCTAACTGAAGAAATCCTCTGCAAATGCAACTAATGTCAGTCAAGAGCGAATGATGAAGCAATAACAAATATTTTCCTTCCTTCTCCTGGTCAAAGCTATGCAGCTTGTTCTAGGGAAAACATTTGTTTGGGAAAATCTACATCACTGCCACCTCCATCACTGTGTGGAGGATTGGAGCATGGTTTTGTCCATGCTGTGTTTACATTCCTTATAGTGCACTGTGCGGGGGATCTGAGCCCATCTGTGTGTGAATCCCCCTCAGGGTGGAAGAAGGGGCTTCAGAAGCCAAGCTGCTGCCAGCTGTTCTCATCCTGCTGGTAAAAGCCCAGATGTTCCCGTGAACATCTGTGGGATAGGGGGTAAAAAGTGGATTGTTTTCAGCCTGCCCTGTTAGATGTCTATTATAAAATTAGAACAGCTGTTTCCACTCTGTTCCAACCCTACTGGAGGGAGAAAGAGAAAACAAGAGCTCGCTCCATTCTAGGACTGGCAGGAGAACTGAGCACCTGTCAGTGTTGGTATCCTGTGCTAAAATATCCACTTCAGAGCATGACACTGTGACACTCTCAGGTGCAGCACAGTGATATATCACACTGACCATTTCTTTTATTGCTAAACTTTGTTACAATGGCAGCATCAGAAGGCTCCTGGATCATTGCTGCAGCTTTAGTCCTCTGAGCATGAAGTACAGGATATGTAAATCCTTTTCCCACTTAATGGTTGGGCCATTCAGGAAAGATAAGCAGGAAGAAATGCATAGGACTGCTTTCTGCTGCCCCTCACCTTGAAACTGGACAAACCTTTAATAAATGTGAGGAGAACAAATGAGCTATATTATAAAGAAGAAAATAAATATTGTCTGTGAGCTGTAAAGCATCCTGCAAGGTAACAGAATGTAAAAATGCATAATTACAGGATATGTTTAAACATAATCATACTTTTCTGCCCATATTCTGAGCCAGGGTTAATTAATATGCTTAACATTTAGTTAAACCCTCTTCATTCCAGGATCACCATATCTCATCTAAGTTACTGGATTCTCACATCTTCAAATAATATTGGAATTGTTTTGGTTTTGTCTTGGATTTTTATTTTTTTTATGTTATGAGATAATAGGTGAAAGAAAGGCCTGAAACTGTTGTGGATGAAGATTCTATGTTTTAAATAAAGTAAACACTATCTCAAAAAGCAGAATCACTTGATCTGGTGATTTAAACACAGCACTGGTGAGTGTTTTGTTGCCTTATTGCAGTATGACATGATTCAACTCAAAATATGAATTTCCTAGTAAAAGCACGTCAGTCTCTTGTTTTGTGAAAGTTCAGTATATCACAAGGTAACAATGATTTTTATATAAATATATACATTTTTATATAAATATAGGTTAGGGTACCTGCTCATCAGATTTTTTTGGTGTTGAATTTCTTTATACAAGACTGCTGTTTGGCTTAACATTCCTTTTAAAAGAACAGATAAACACTTACTTTTTATAATTCTGTGAATATGTGTATAAAAAATAGAAAATATTGCTCATAATTTTAAAAAACCAAGCCAACCTGAGTTTGTTGGCGTTTTTGAACAAAACCACTTCTGTCTTTTAGAACTAGGACATTCATCTTGAAGAGAAGCTTGGGAAGAGAACATGCAGAAAAATAGGTCACTGGTTTCTCATCAATAAACACCCACCAGGAAAATATGATCAGACTCAAGTGTGGGAACAAATGTAGAGAGGAGTTATCAGGTTTTAGATTTGAGGTGAAAAGGATAGAATCTAGATCAGAGGGAAGGATAAAAAGGGGAGTGTGGAAGGCAAAGAAAATATAATTTTAAAGTCTCATGTCAATACTGGTATATCCTTGCAACAAGTCAGTGTTTTGGGCAGTTCTGGAAGCATGACAAAAATGCAGTGTGATTTAGGGGCTATCTGGGAAAAAAATCTCACTGGAAATGCATCCTTTTAAATGAGTGCAAAGGATGAAGCACCAGTCCTCTACCCAACAGCTACTTCTGTGTGAAGCTACGAAAAAGTAGAATAAACGATTCTATTAATCCCAGCTTTCTTCTTGCACTGCTTTGATGCAGACAAACATTTAGCTATGTACATATGGTGATCTGAATATGCATAATCAATTAATGTTGTATTCTGAAACTGCAAAAGTCTTAACATCTGCCTGGTAGAAATGTGTTATTTGAGTGAGACTTTTAGCAAAATTTAAAAGTAGGGTAGTTCCAAAGAGACAAGCAGAAGTCGTGGTTGCATCCCCAAATTGAATCCCCTTTCTGTAAAACATCAAGTTACTTCCTTAAAATCTTCCTAAAATGTTCTTACATGTATTTAGCCTATATAACAAATTTTGCCCCCCCCCCTTTTTTTTTTTTTGGAAACAGTTGAACCATGCTGGCTGAAAATTAACATTTTGAAGCCAAACACTTTAACACAAATGATGACAATTCTGTCAGATCTCAAATAACTGCAAAGCTGCAGTGTTGCAGTAGGAAGTGACAGACAATTTTATCTACAGGCATTCCTATTGATACTCTTTTTTATTTGCTTTTTTAAGTGCAGTACCTTAAAATTCTCTACGGAAAAGTACAAAGACATGAACCAGCTGATGAACCCTGCCACAGTCTGACAGCAATCATCCAGTCAACAGAAATGTACGTTAAAGCTTTTCTCTAAAATTCTACTGGTAGAAGTACAATAAGTTTTCTGTCCATATTTTTTTTTCACAAGCTGCTTGAAAACTTCAGAATAAATGAAAAACAAGTAAAATTCCAACACTGAAAACAAGTATTAACCAAAATCAGTCTCTGATCACAGTTTATACTTATTTTTACTTTCTGCTGTAGGAATGGAGAGCAATTACGGTGTCCCTAATAAAAGCTTCCCGCTTTGCTTCCTGATAAATTTATTTTTACCATGTGGCAAATGTACTCTTCACCCTGCAAATAATTCTTAAAGCCTTAAGGATGTTAATTGGGTCTGCAAGAATTCTGGGGATATGCAGGTATCAAGTTTCACGTGTGATTAAGAATCATTATTTAGGATTATTTAGGATTAATTCAGCAAGGGAATGCCAGTTTAAGCCCTTTTTAAAAAGTCTGTCTTGCATCTTTTTCCTAAGAAAAGTCATGCTTTTCTTTCTGTGGATTAAAGTATCTTCTTGCAATATTTTAATTATCCATTTTTTTAGACTGGACTATGATAGGAAGTCCAAATTCAATATGAATTCTGAATTCAGGGAGAAGTATAACTTTTACTACTTTGGCCTAGATTACTTTGCAGCAGCAGTCCACTTATACTTCAGATTGCTGTAGTATGCATGTACATCCATGTGGAAGGAGAAGCCTGCCATCCTTTGGAATTTTCTTTTTCCTAATTCTTCATTTCTGTCTAACTTCTCCCAGACAAGGTAAGATAGAGATTAGTCACAGTGATTTTTAACCTCTTCAGCTTTCTGAAAACATCCCCTGAAAAGTTATGTTCAAACTTCATCACTCCTCTTTTTCTGGAATCCTTCTATTGTAGATCCCATTTTAACCCCCTTACCCCCCCAAAATCAAAACACAAAATGAGCTCTGGTGGGACCTGTTCTATATGGATAATTACTCACCCAGTGCCATGACTGTGTCAAATCTTCTGGATTATTTTCTTTCACTGAAAACCTTTTCCTTTTTTTTTTTCCCCTTAAAAATATTAAAACTAAAAGTGCATTTTTTTTCATTTGGGTCATCTTCCCAAACAGTTTTCCTGTAGAACACAGGACAATCATGTAACAATGTATTAAACACATTGCTTGCACATGTGCTAAGGTTTCAATTACTATTAACAGAAATTAGGGCTGAACCTCAGAAAACAGTTAATTAGAGGAAATGAAATGCATCCATGACCTTGGAAGACTCCATGTGTGCTAAAAAATATTTGATATATTTAGCTTCTTGGCAGGCTAGGTTTTAAGGGCATGGAAACAGGGTAACTTCCTTGCCCACAAAGGTTTAAATTTCTGATACTGTTTTGCTTTCCCTTAAGCTATTATAAACATCCTAATATGGTGCTTTATTGGAACTTCATTTTTAAAACCACTTTCTTAAAGGGAGGAAGAAGAAAAAAAAAATAAGACATGAATATGAGAAATGAAAATGCAATGGTTGCTGCAGATGCTTTGTGTAAGATTTGTCCTGAAAGACTTGGCCATTTAAACTGTGTTTGTCAGTTTGGATCATTTTATTGATGATCTGGCAATGAATGCTAGAAAACAAGTTGGCATTTTGTTTCTTGGACTCTGCCTGTTTCTCATATAGAGATTATTAGCTGGCTATTTTTAGACTGAGGAAAATGTTAGCTTTAAAAATAAAAAGGCTCATTAAGGCTTAATGAGTAGGGTTTTTGCAGGCACTTGGAGTACTTCTCCCTGAAGTCTCGAGTCTTTCTGTGTAACATGGACTAGTTTACAGGATCATCTGTACCTCAAAGCATGCCCTCAAAACAAACTTTATTTACACTCTCGTCAACATAGATGTTTTCTTTAGGGTGGCTGGGCTCCAGCACACACCTCCTTGCCTTGTTCTGCAGGCTCTGCAATTGAATATTCTTTAATTTAACATTTCTGATTCATTTGAAGTGCCTTTCTTTTGCTGCAGAAAGTTGGAAGCAAATCCCCTGCCTTCCAGAAGACTCATGTAGAAAAGTTGCTGCATAAATGTTATTAAAGTGCCATAAAGTTTTGTTCCATTTTGCATAATGATCCAGCATAGCTGCTCAGCTGACTGGCAGAGTGAGTATCGACTTAATATCATCCTGTTGAACCAGCATCCATTGTAGTTCAGTTATTCTGGATTCCATTTGGGATTTAGTATTCAGCAGAGTGAGTCCCAGATGGAGAAATTTTACTGCATGTTTTGCCTCGTATTTTTTTTGTTTCATGTATTTACTGATCAGACTTGTTATTATTTTGGGGTTTTTTTCTCCTCTCTGCACGAAGCTGGCAGATAAGAATTCCATACATGAAGGAGATTTGCATAACGGGTGCCAGCAGGGGAGATAACGTGACTTCACTTTTATGTGCAATGTTAACAACATACAAGCCAGAAAACCCACAGAGAACACAAATCTGATGCAAGACTAAATATTTAAATTAGCAAAAAAATTCTCTGTAAGAAAGTGAAGGGACATAGCAAAAATTGGACATAAATTTTAACTCACTTAACTAGTTTTTCCATACAGTTGAGAAATAAGATGATGAGAATGGCTAATTCTGTTGATTCCATAAACAAAATTCCCAGTGCTCATTGTTATTTTCGAGGTGGACCTGACATTGACAGAGATGCATTCTAGATGTGGTGGGACAAAAGTCTTAACTGATAAAAATCCTTTTGGGGTGGTTTGAAAATGAAATATGAAAGCTTGTGCCATAGAACTCCAGTTTTAAGTGCAAATATTATCACTTCTGCTGCAAATTTTTCTCCTGCCTGATGAATAATCTTTATACTTTAGTCACCAAATAAAAAACAGAGCCTGTAGTCATGACTCGTCATTATGGATGGTGAGTATGTATGGGCAGAAAGGGTAACAAGCCACATTTTAATGCAATGCATTTTAAAGTCCTGAAACAGAAAATCTTCAAAGACAATAATAATTAAAAAAGTAATAAATCTCAAAAAATGGGAATTCTCCAAAACACCTACAACTATTTCTACCCAAAAAAGCCATTTGAGTAAAAGTTTTTGTATCCCAGTCTGCCCAATTAAAGGTAAAACTAGAAAAAAACTACTGTGGCAAGATCACTTGTCTGCTGTTGCTCAGACAAAACTTGCACTTAAAATTGGTTGTGCCCCAAAAGTGAAGTCCCTGGATGAAATCTTACCTACACTTCAGCCCCAGAGGCAGAACTCTTCATTATTTCAGTAAGACAAGGATTTTAGTGCTTGTGTTTATCTCTTCAAAGGCACAAGTAAAAATCTTTTAACTTGGGGAGCCCAACTCATGAAAACCTGACATTGGTATGTCCTGCACGACTGCTTTCATAAGTCACAGAGCCATGAAAATCAAGAAAATGGGAACTCAACTGATGTGAGAGGGGCATATCCCACCACCAAACCGTATATAACCCCAGAGAACTACATCTAGCTACTCTGAAAAACTTCAGAATATTTATAAGAGAATGATTTTATGCCATTCCTGGGGAATACAGCACCAAAATAGTGGCAACATAAATATGTTGTGTTATGGGGGGGTGGCCAGCCACCTGCATTAGAATGTTTTAAAAGCAGCAGGTATCACCAGATCTTAAAAAACAGAGCAAACAAATGAAATTTTTTTCTTATATGGTACATGTTGTTGTGCATTCTTCATACAATTTTAGCAATCTAGCTAAAATAATTAAATTTTAGATGCTAATATTTCCTCATTCAAAAATTTAGATTTTTTTTTAGCTAGCAAGTTTCACTTTTGTCTGGCCTGAGGTCTTTGACGTTAAAGAAATCTCTGGGCAAATCACCTGCCAAAGCATTGAGCGTGCTATAGGATAGACTATACAAGCAGTTTCAGGAGCTGAAGATTAATGGAAGCATTGTTTTCCCCTTCTTGTGATTACCTCCAGGGTCCTTCTGTGTCCCCTAAATACGACAGAAACAGCAGGGGTTCTGTTTGTGTAGTGCAAGTGGATGGGCCAAGCAAAACAGAACCAAAAGTCTGTCACTGTAGGTTTCTCCCATAGCAGGGGCAATAGCTTAAATCTGCTTTACAAGCTACTGGCTTCACCAGGTTTTTGGGAACTTGAAAATATTTTGAGACCTCCATTTCTTGGCTAAATTTGGCCAACAGTGATTATAGGATGCTAGGCCAATGAACAACCAACTTAAGCAAAAAGTTTTATTTCCCAGAGGACAGTAGTGCTAAAAGGCAGTAAACAACTTGTTCTTGCCCAAACTGGCTTCAAAGCAGTTGTTGCTATGATGGGGATGAATACAGATTTAACAGAAACACAACTTCTGTTGTAGACAAATGAAATATTTGACACTTGTGGCCTAGATATTTTGAGAAAATAAAACTGAAAAATGATGAATTACAGATGCTAGTAAAAATTCTGTAGCTGCGGACAACTAGATGGAAGATTGAAACCATGCTGAGTCACAAAAGTCTATTTCAGAACTTGAGTTTGTGGGTAATAAAATAGTAATTCAAGGAGATGAAAGGAGGTATGTTAGAATGCCTTGTCAGAGAGCCAGTAATGGTGCAAAGGACTGTCAGTGGATAGTGGGCATCAAAACCTGAAATGAGATTTGGAAAACCTACTCCCATTATGTTGGGGCCAAGCTTAAATGCAAATGTTAGAGAAGTTTTTCAGAACCTTTTTTTACTGTCGATTTTGGGAACTAAGAATATCTTAAGTGTGGAATATTTTTTTCCTTATATTACAGGACTGTGCTAAATTGCCACCAACTCATCTTTGCCCTCTTCTCCTACCAGCATCCTCATGTTGCCATGCATGACTCCCCTATGGAGTGTGCTTTCCAAATCAAATCACCAAATCCTTAGTTTCCTTTGTGTGATCTCTTTCTGCCTCACTGCTCTTCTTTCAAAAGGAAGTTTATCATTGTTTGCTCCTTTCTCCTAAAATAGTCCTGATATATCCCCTCCAAACTTACTATCCAATAAT